ACCGAGCGAGCCACTACGGTTGATAGTGTTGGATGTTTTCGGCGACTGAAGTACCTGCTACACAACCAAATACACGTCCCGCAGTCGGTTACGAATCGGAGAACAACACTCGTCTCGGTGGATGGTTTTTGGGAATGCATAGGACGTGACCGAGCCACTACGGTTGATAGTGTTGGATGTTTTCGGCGACTGAAGTACCTGCTACACAACCAAATACACGTCCCGCAGTCACCTGGTTACGAATCCCTTGACACCATCCGACACTAGCAATGACTTTGAGGCATGGTACTAAGTCTGAAGACGCTTCAGATCATCTGTCCACAGGGACCATGTCTCGTAACCATACAGCCCAGTATACGTTATCATTGAGGCCAATCGAACTGCTGTTTTGACTCCACAGCTGATGCAAATTAGCAGACGTGATTCAGGTCCTATAAGTTACGCATGTTATTGGGGAGAGATGGCCCAAGTGGTTAGAGCGCAAATTTACTGACCGGAAGGTCCGTGGTTCGAACCCGACCTCCGCCTCTCGACTTCCCCTGTCTAGGCTTGGGCAACCTGACAGTATCCCAGCCCTCGTGCTTCCTTCGAGTAGCATGGCAGTTAGGCACCGGAAGGGTGTCACAGCTGAACGATTTCATTTTTGTTGGACCGTCTACCTCGCATAGCACTTTTTGTCCAGCCCTGTACCGATGAGAAGTGGTCAAGGAACAAATAGCCAATAACTGAGTATTGAAGTAGAAGAGTTGTAACCAGTAAACTGGTCGCTGGATGAGAACCGTGGGATTCTACTTATCAGAGATTGGTGACAACGGCAGACATGATTCAGTCACGCCGTTAGTGACTATCAAAACTGTCACCTTTGGTGCACTGTTGTTCAGTTTCCCGCTTCATCAAACATCTAAAATGATCCTGATAAACCTATTTGATTATGACATCACTTCCAATGGCTATGCCTTCCTGTTCTCAAGTTATTCAGTTACCAAGGCTGCAGGGCCTGAAAGTGGCTTACACTTCCTGAATGTTCCTGGGGTAATAAATCATTCTTAACTGATTCGTTCTCTCATATTAGGTTCATCACGAAACAAAAAACATCAACTTATGTGTTATTTTGGCTGTTAAGTCCATCCTTGAACCAGCTTCCATTTAGTAGTTCGCTTTGGACTTCGTGCTGCAGGTTGGACTTCTAGTCCCCTAAAATTATTCAGCATTGTCCTGCCTTTCAGAAATTTCGGTGGTATCAGTGGTGAGAGGTGATCGAATGAATATCAGTGGCTTTGAGTTGGTTCAGCCGGTTTCTTCTGCCTTTTGCCGAAATGGATATTGCAGTGCCATTATCCCCCTGTGTTTTGCTGGAATCAGCGCGGGGTAAGGATGTCCAAGTGATTCGTGTTACTTAACGAATACTTTTTAGATGTGCACGGAACCGTTCCACTTTGGGGTGGCGACACTTTTCGTTCGGTGAACATGTCTGCCATGCCTGTTTCGAGTTACTTAGGTATGTGTGCATGGTTTACCTCAGTTGCCACAGTGCTAGCCACTAAATGAACAGGGTTTATGCTTTTAGGCCAGTAAAGCCAGTGTTTAACCCATTATTTTGTATTTCCCTAGTCAGCAGAATAAATACCAGGGGGATGATTCTGTGTGGCGGCATCGAATGAGCGCCTGGCGCAGGGAGCGACTGCGTATGTGTAGTGTGTCTGGAAGACAGTCTGCTCCAACTGCTTTGGATTTCCTTGCTTCACAACTTCTGCCTTGGTGGCTTCAATGTAAAGAATGTGGTCGTTGGCGTCAACTCCCTCCGCGCACTCCAATAGGAGCACCAGACTCCTGTTTCCATCCGGCAAGGTTCACGTGCAAGGAAGTGGTAAAGGTGGGTTTTTTGGGCGATGGGTTCTATCATGGTTCTGTCATTATATTCCAATTAAGCTTAAGCTGCTCATTTCGGGGGTTCATGTACGATACTGGTAGTAAGATTAAGATCAATTGAATTAACTGCAAGGCCTTCAAATTGTGTCAGTATTATCGCTCTTAAATATGCCATAGTTCAGGTACAAACGCCTGTCGACTGCTTTCCCCATTTTAATCGCCTTTCAATGGTTCATCAGATAAAGGTGAATCCTATATCTGGGGTTCTGCATTTTTCCGATTATTTCACTGCTACGTTTTCTCCGACCACCTGCTCCGAAGAAACATTGTTTCTTTCGATATAAAGTGGTCTCTGAATGGGGACTATCTGTGGGATCTTCTAGAGAGGCTCCTATAATGAGGATTGACGAAATCTATGATTCCGTGTGACAACCGAAGGAACCTTGTGTCGAGCACCCATTTCTTAGGAAATTCGTTGTGATATGTATTTAGTGTATATTTGCAATAAGAAAACCAAATTAGTTTGCAAATGAGTGTATATTCGGTAATCTCGTGCAATTTGGTTTCAAGTAGAACATAAGGTTGACGGAAACCCGGGGACTGCGCCTATCTGATGAGCGCCAAAGAGGGCGAAACCGGTCGTGGGCTGTCGACGGATTTTCAGCAACCTTATGAGTAGTACATTACAAAAAAACTATAACCTCCCCCTTCGATAAACCGGCGTGGACATATTAGTCGCTTGTCAGGCAGTTGTGTTCGGACGCGATCCAACAATAAGAGGAATTGCTCCCGCCTCACCATCATGTTTACCGACGAAACGCACAGTCGTTCCGAACCAAGTGATACGCTTTAACCGTCGACACTGGTGATTATCCACGCTTGGGTAGGCCAGGCCCTGCTTTCTAACTGGCCAGTAAGGAAGGTCATCAGCCTTTTCCAGAGAATCATTGTGCATGGTCTTCATTCCATTAACTTTTATGTAGTGAGGCTTGTTGTGGCCTTCATAGAGTGGAGAGAGGCAGAATAATCTAATTTGCTGTCAGTGCGCACATTGAGCCGCACATGATGTACGGATTCGAGGCTCAACCCAGCTGGAACCACAACATTCAAAACGGAAATTCCCTGAAAAACCACAAACCCAACACACCATTCAAACTCGCGTAACCCATGCGCATTACCCTTCCCTCACATATTAGCGCGGCGTGTTACTCTAGTTTTTACATCTTTGAGACCGTCATCTGAGGGATTCTTTCGAACTTCGTCGGCTTGTCCATTAAATGTCATTGAGTTCCACGAAGATGTCCCTCACCGATGCCGGTACGTGAAACTACCATAAAACAACCTGGAGTGGTCAGTAGTTTTCAAATTGTGCACCAATGAATTATAAAAAACTAACCTTAGTCAAGATACTATTCTACAGGAAACATTAGACATACCACACAAAGAAAACGAGTCTTAACAAAGAAGTGCTATTCTGAATGCTTTGTCCAAACACAGTCTGTAAAAAGCCACATTGCATCCGGTTACTACCGCAATTAGAAATACGAGCTTTTAAAATTTTTTGTGAGAGTACAGCTTGGTATAATGCAGTGATCAGGACTGATTTGAAACTCCGGGATTTCAACCCAATCCTCCTCTTATCTAGCTCCAGGCTACTTGGTAGTATCTCAGTCCTCGTACTTCCTTCGAGTTGCCCGGCAGCTGTGAACCTAAAAGATGTCAAGGCTGAGCAGCTGTGTCAGTCTTTATTCTTTTCTATCTAAGACAACGGGAGTCCATCTCTGTGAGTCGACTCAATGGCTCCTCTGTAGCCGACTCATTATTGTGGGATAAAGGATTGCTTCATTTCATGTAGAGACGCTGATCATGCCAAACCAAATACCTTTTTATTTCAGTTTTGCGGAGACCCATGTTCATGGCCGACTGACGAAGTGAGTCACACCGGATATTTTTATCATTTCCGCTTGTGTGAATTGGGTTCTTTTAACAAGCATCTTATAAGCCGCCGTACAGAGCACACTGCGTAGTATTGTGTTGTAAAACTTTGTTTGACGGAATTACGAGGAGATCAAGTTTGGGATACACAAAGGAAGAGATCAGTGTCGTCGATTGGGCATGACATTTTTACAAGTGATTGGCAATTTTTTTACTGGAGGTCTTGTCCCGTAAATTAAGTTGATTTGTGCTGAAACGCCGAAAAGCACTGGTATTTATAGGACCTGATGCCTTGTTGAAAGCTCGTAGATGTACGAAGTTTAGCACCATCCACAAACAGGCACCACTCGAGATACGATTCCGTACCCAACAATGGAGATGGTCCTCCTTATCGTGGGATTCAGTCATGGTGAGTTCTAACAGCTCCGAATATTTCACGGGATTTCCCAAGGTGAAGCCCCACCTTCAGATCACCTTATCTTGAGATCTCACAACGGAGTTCTGTCCTAAAGTGGAATGGAGTATCTCCAATCATGGTACCAGGACTCCTTTCGTATCGAACGCCACACGTGACCCCTCACTGTAACATTTTTGTGTGATTATTATTGTTATCTCTCTACAGTAGTTAGCGGTCTGGAGATAGCTCTGCAGCTTACGGACCGGAAGGTCCGTAGTTCGAATTTGATCTCTGCAACTCAATCGTTCCTGTCTAGGCCTGGGCAACCGGGCAGAATCACAGCCCTCATGCCTCCTTCCTTTGGGATGGCAACTAGGCACCGGGAGGGTGCTACTGAACAACTTGATTTTTTTAAATATATTTTTTCACAGTATTTAGCCGAGAAAAACTATAATCTAAGTAGGCATTTTTCAGCGTCAACTTTTAGTCGCAGTCTCACTGCGGACATCCAGCATTCATTCTTGCTGATCTTGCTCATGTCATGATGTTATCAATTCTATGATAAGACTGCACTCAATTTTGCATCCATTATGTGAATTCCTTTATCTCCAGGGTTGACTGGACGATCTACACGAATAGTTTTTTTAGTAAGAATGCACCGATTCAAGTTTTCTTCTAGGATCGACTGATTCGACTAACCGACCGGTACCGTTTGGCTCGGTTCATTCTCAATGATTTACGGAAGCACCAGTAACTGTGTAATAATAATAATAATCGTTCAGCTGTAGCGCCCTTTCGGTGCCTAGCTGCCATGCCACCCGAAGGAAGCACGAGGGCTGGGATACTGTCAGGTTGCCCAAGCCTAGACAGGGGAAGTCGAGTGGCGGAGGTCGGGTTCGAACCACGGACCTTCCGGTCACTAAATTCGCGCTCTAACCATTTGAGCCATCTCGTCAGTAACTGTACCAAGCGAAAATGTTGTTACATTAGGTATAGGTTGTTGCGAAATTTGTAGAATCCGCAGTCACATCGCTTAAAAAGTCCTCCTCCCCTGCCCCCCTACCAAGAGGGGGAAGCACTGAACTCCGGTTTTGTTCTCATTAGAGCTCATCATCAGTGTATTTCTTGGGTCATGCTAGGGTTTGAAGTTCAGACATCTGACATGTGAGGGCGAGCATGTTACAACTCTCCCAACACCTCACACTGGACACATGAATTACCACACAGCCGAATGCGCCGGAAGGAGAGTGATGTGATCCCACCAATCCCTCATTTACCCATAATTACTCATAAATCGCCCCGAAATTCTCAAGCATCCGTCTTGTTGCTTGATTTGGAAGTTTCGACAGGCGGGTTATACGATCGACACGACTAAAGTAGTAACGTGGTCGCCATTTGAGGCGCTGGATAAACCAGTCGCATCGCTTGGTCGTGAACATGCTTGACTGTTCAGATGTAATAATTTACAGATAACCAAAATTATTGACTGCTGCTTAGCTCTAATAAAATCGGAATTCTCGTCCTGTGGATCAGCCAGAATAATCGCCATAGGATGGCAAGAGGACTATTCAAACGAGGATGATGTGAATGCATATCACTACGTTATTAATAACATAGCAGTAGCCGTGGCCGTTCGTACGTGTGCCCACCTCAGAGGATGTCCGACCACCACATTCGGCTATCACCTTGCCACCAGCGGGCACTATCACACCAGATTTGTGTCGTTACCTGATCAACTGGGATCAGACCACGCCCTCCGGTACGCGCGGTTTGGATTGGCTGGTTTGTTTGAGTTGTACGACCCAGTAAATCACTGACGTGAGGAGTTCGATGCACTCCTGACTGGAATGTCACCTCACCATTAGCATGCACCGTTAGATGAATCGAGTTGAAATTACCTGTTTCAACAAACAGCCAGACGAGTTAGCGGGGTTCAGACGTTGAAGCGTCTGTTTCATAGATTTTAGTAACTTATGATCGGTCGTCAACCAATAACACGCCATATATTTCTCTTTTTCTTTTCAGCGGACAACGTTGGTGTTAAGTAGGCATCGTGACTTTCTAGCCAGTATTCAGTCACATGCCTGGTTGCAAGTTGTGCCTTCTCACGAAACACTATCTACGTATGGAGTCGACTTAACTGGTCTATCGGTGGATCCGCTTCCTGGTTTTCCGGTGGAAGGGAACACCCTAAAAGGTAAAAAGTGTAAATTGTCCCTTTGTTTGATCTTGCTTCTACTCGGTCGGATTCACATTATTCCGTTTGCTTCACTAATGTGTTACTCCTTGCTGCACTTCTCATTCCGAATTAAATGAATCACCTTGGTTTCCCCAGGTTCTCATGGTGAAGTAGAAATCTACTCATCAGGATTGAGTTCACGGTGGAATTCGCACTATATGGGACCGAAGCCATGCTGTTTTCTCAGCTCCTGTACCAGCGCGTTACTTATCGATCCCTTCCTAAAGTATGCAATATTACCTATGTGATTCCTCGTGAGGAATCGAGGCACAAGCACCCTATGTATAGTTTCTCACTGCGGGCGTTCTAAATCATTAGCTTAAAGAATATCGCCAGTAGCGGCATCCGACTTGTTTTAGTGAGGGAAATTCTATCGTGAATCCGCAACCCGTTTGTCTGATACGAAAATTAGACCATGAAACAATTCGTACCAGGACGTGTGACCCGACCGTAAGCTGCCAGTTTATCGTGGTGACTGGGTTTCAATACGGGTATAAACCTGCAAACCACATTGGCTGGAACATCGTTCCGTAAGGTTTTACCAGAAAGACTAACTCAGAGCAGCAAGTCTCCTTGCTACGAGCAATTGTAGTATTCGATGGGTTGTGCTGTTCAGTTAGACAGTAGTGTGAAAAGTTTTAGGGGTTTTCTCCAGGCAGGCAGCATTTACATATTTACGGAAGATGCAATGCAATCTTTTCGCCTGAGGGAGGATAGCTTAGGAATGGTCGAAATGTTTCGGAATATTCTTACCTCATTGCGTCTATTGGCTAATCACCAAATGGCCGTCGGTCCACTTTTTTGCTTGCACTGATAATAGCAGACTGATCAACCGCCACCTGGTCAACAGCCCATCTTTCAGCTGTAACACCCTTCTGGTGCCTAGCTGCCATGCCACCGCACACTTCAATAACCGAACGGTTGAATGTGATCGCTGGAGTATTAGCTAATATAGTCTAAATAGTCCTGAAAATCAATGTTCGGTGTGGCGCAGCAGCACTAGGAGTCAGAAAACTATGCATTATTTCCTGTGTCCTGATGTCAGGCAAACCTCTACCACTAGGTGGGTCAGACTATCGAGTCGTTTGCCGTCCCCCGAATCGGCCGTCAAAAAACAAGTCGGACACTTGAACTGAAGGACCGGGAAAAGCCCCAAGGAATTGAAAATTGCACCAGTTAGCAAACCCAAGCAAAGAAGAGTGGAGATAAGCCAGCGTCGACTCCCAATGTGGAACGATGGAACCCTTCGCGACTGGGATGGGAGCTACAAACCCGATTGGCGCTCAGCCCTTTTGGCCGAAGATCCGAAACACTCTCGCATCGGCCCAGCTGCCTTCAGCAAAAATTAACTGACTGGTCAAGGAAGCTTACGGGAAACTGGATATACATACTACTGCTCTGGAACTCACAGGCTAGTCGACAGGAGTACGAAGTCGGCTTTCCATTGTCAGACCAAATGGGCGGAAGAACATTGGGCAAATCGGGCTGTGTCACTGCGGTGACTATCCGGTTTCAGCTGTCAGGAGGACTTTCCAACTCTTTTGTCAGTGTGTATGCTCCCACGATGTTTCTTATTCCGAATCTGAGCGGACCTTTTGGATTAAATGGCTGTCCGACAAAGGAATCTGATGAAAGTTTATGGATGATGAGATTGAACCTGCAAGAGGCTGGTCAACCAGCCCGAATATTAAGCGACTGTTGAACCACTCAGCACTGGATAAGTCCCAAGAGGTCATCGGTCACAGCTTGCCTTATCCAATGGTACCGCATACGTTGGAGAACCAATGAATTGGGACCAAGGAACTCATCCAGACAACTGTGATTAGAACTATCGGATTCGAAAATGGTGTCAAAACTGGTTTAATGCATTTGATGCATTGAAATTTTCCGTGGTCAGTCAGAATCACACAACTTCCATCAAGACGTTCCAGAAATCATCGGATTCATTAGGGCGCCAGCTGAATCTTAAAGCAACATAACCACCTACCTGATGAGACTCAAGAAGGGCAAAACCGGTCGTTGCAGAGTTTTTAGTAATGTAGTACGTCTATACATGTATCTTGATATTTTGAAAGTCGTACTAAATGAAACATTATTTGGCCTGCCATAGCACATTCAGTTGCTTAAAAACATCATAAACAAAAAGTTCAGCTGGGTTCTAGGTGAGTCTCCAACCAAAGTTGAAGGACGCCACAGTCTAGCCACTGTTCAAGGAAAAGGAAGGCCCACAGGAAACATACAACTGTCAAGAAATTAGTCTTCTCTGAACTGCAGGAAAAATCTCGGGACGATTACCATTAGACCTATGGAACGTCTATATTTTGAAAGAAACTATCCATGAATGGCAGTGCGGATTCGCAGCACGGATGACTTCGCCCTTAAATGCAAGAAGAATATCACGGACGGAACTGACCGTTACACGCTCTGTCTGTGTACCTTACAAAAGCCTTTTTGTAAACAAGCAGACTCCGTCGTTCGTCCTCCAAAAGTTCGACTGTCCCAAAAAAATGTCTGCGTTTTCAAACTCCTTCATTCCAGTATTAGCGTCCGATCAGGTACCCGTGAAATCACCTCTGGTGATTTCGAAATTGGTACGGGACGTAGGCAAGGTTGCTCTCTACCTCCAACCCTGTCCAATACGTGTCTGATTGTGTCTTGTGCATCAGCTTTTCTTGAAGGTGATGTACCGATCCACTACCGTCTAGACGGTCACATCTTCAACATAAAAAGCTTCATGACCAAATGGCACAAGTCGAAGGTGTTACCGTTTGCAGATAACTGTACTTCGTATGCTTATTTGAAGGCAAAAATACGGCGAATAACCACGAGCATCCGACTTTGACCTGAAGCATGTTTCTTTCCCAACCTGCTCGGGGTCTACAACAACATTCAAATCGATAGCGACAGCTCAGCATCTCTGAAAGTTTTTCCCACATCTTCAGTGCTCTACCCATAGACTGACAATCGATAATGAAATGCGTGCTCGGGCTGCGAAGCAAATGTCACTTGATGAATGCGCTTGGATCCTTCAACCTGCTTGTGGACATCAGTGTCTCTACTGCACGGTGCGAAATCTGGACGTCCTACCGGTATCAAAATGCTTGACAGATTTCACTCACTGCGCAGACTACTTCGAATTCAATGGTTCGATAGAATCCCGATTAGTGAACTTCGCAAACTAGCCAAGATCAACGTAAGCGAACTCGCACGGATGCACAACTGGCTATGCTGGATATTGACATTCAACGACTGACCGATATCCACATCATGAGATGGCTGGTCTACCGTAAATTGAATGAAGCTGCAACTCGGGGGCTGTTTTGAATTCTTGTAGAATGGCACCCTTAGTTGGAACAGTTTTTCTGAGAACAAATGCTCCCAAGTTGGTCTCGGTTTCAAAATAATATTCGTATGATGCATGAATACGCGTTTGTCATTCCTATTCACTACCACTCGTAAGTCTCACCAATTAAACATGTTTGGCCCATGAGGCGAACGTATTCCTCGAATTTCAATAAAAATTTATCGTCCTTGAGGTGCTCTTTCAATTGACTAGGACTCATTCATTTACTTGCTCTTTCGTCCATTTACCTCTGCCATTTTCCAGATCAAGGCATCTTCAAATCCCGCGACAACTGGATCTTCTCTCCTGTGGATATTCAAGCATGGGAACGTGCAGCCTTTCCTGAAATGGTCCGGTTAGTGTTTGCGCTTTTCTCTGCAAAGCACGTCCTCTATTTTTGTAGTGTACATATATATATATATATATATATATATATATATATATATATATATATATATATATATATATATATATATATATATATATATATATATATATATATATATATATATATATATATATATATATATATATATATATATATATATATATATATATATATATATATATATATATATATATATATATATATATATATATATATATATATATATATATATATATATATATATATATATA